GTATTGAACCCCCAAAGACTTTAAAACCTGAACCATTAAGTAAGGAAGAACTTAAAATAGGCACTACTACTACTACTACTACACATTTTCTTTTCTTCTTTTCCTATAACAAAAATAAGGGTTCAGCCCCTATATTTTTTGAATTTTCTTTTCCTTCTTTTTCTTCTCATGAATATGTTGATTTTCTATACTTTAATATTAACTCTATACTTTTCTTATGAAAATTATGAATATTTATTAAGAAAATATGGTTATGGTACCTAGGGAACTACCCTAGGATCTATGTTTTCTACATAAAAAATCCATCACCCAGGTGACTAGGCGACAAGGCACCCCCCCTATCGCCTGGCCTTGCCTTGGCGCCTTGAAAACTATGATATGTATTTTATCTTTGATGCTAACCTGATGAGAAACTTTGCTTAAACCTTCATTTTATTTATTTAATTTTACACTTGGTTTTCCTGAATCCTGGAATTCTATTGCTTACTCTCTTCTTATTTCAATTATATTGTAAATTTAGCTTTAGCTAACTTCATTTTATTTCTTTACTTCTTGAAGGGTGATGTCTACCCTGTGGAGCCTTATGATGGATTATCAGTGAAACAGGTTTTGGATGCTCATTGGGGTGCCCTCAATGATGAAGATGTAAGAAACCTTATGCACCATTTTTAGATCCATTAATTTTATTTTCTTATTATTTAAAATAAAGTTCTGTTGTGGACATCATAAGTTTTATTACCACTTTTTTGAGGGACTAGGTCCAAGTTGGCTTTGATCTTGGTCAAGTACCAAATTTAGTTCTTTAGTCTGCAGAAAAATGATCTTTTAATACTTAGATCGGGCAACCATTTTGACAAATATGAATTTGCAGCAACTTATATTGTTGGATTCTTCGGTAGTATTTCTTTTGTTTTTCCATTATTATTTTTTGGGGGCAGGCTTTAAACAGTTTTTCATGTAATGGAATTATTCTGAATTCATGCTTCTAATAGCCACTTGGATGACCTGTTATTTGGGACAGGTAGCTCCTGATTGAAGTGAAGTCAAAATCCTAGTTGTCAGTTCCTTGAAGAAAATGAATTCTAACACTCTTTTTCTTTCCCCAGTCAAGTGGGCTTCGATCCCACACTCTTTCTATGCTTGTAAGTGACTCTCCTGGAGTCCTCAACTTAGTCACGGGGGTTTTTGCCCGTAGAGGGTATAATATTCAGGTTTGTTTGGTTATAACTTCGGTTTCTTTTATTGTTTTTTTCTTTTTCATTTTTCTCTCATGGATTTCTTCTTTGGTTAATTATCATCATCTTCTGCTTTCAGAGTCTTGCTGTTGGTCCTGCAGAAAAAGAGGGCATTTCTCGCATTACAACCGTTGTTCCTGGTACTGATGAATCAATTGGGAAATTGGTTCAACAACTTTATAAGCTTATTAACATTCATGAGGTATGGTGCAATCAATTTATTAATAGAGCCCATCAATTATATTGTTTGAACATATCCATTAGACACCTATATCTTTTGGAGTAGATCAACCTGTAGCATTCCGTCATTCCCCAAATGTGGTAATGATGGCATACAATCTTTGTACTCTATTTTCAAAATGCCATTAGTTTCTCTGGTAAATACATCAGATGCAGTAGGGTACTGTCCAACTAATGTCCCTTCTAAATAGATGCACTAGGTTAATCTTCATTTGCTCGGAGCTGTCTATTTTCCAATTATAAATGAATGCAACTGCTCAGATGGTTGGGACTTTAGTCCTTCAATGGGACTCCTTGTTTAGTTCAAGATATATGAATATTTATACCAATTATTAAAATGGCTGACATAGCAGGTGGTTGCCTTTCCAGGTTCAGGATATCACCCACTTGCCATTTGCTGAGCGAGAACTGATGCTGATAAAGATTGCTGTGAACACCACTGCCCGAAGAGATGTCCTTGACATTGCCAGCATATTCCGTGCGAAGGCTGTTGATGTGTCTGATCATACAATCACACTTGAGGTTAATATCCTAAGTCAGGATTTTTCTCCATTTTAAATCTTGTTACCTTGACCTGGAAAACACTTTTAAGTGGTATTTGGTAGTTTGCTAACTCTACGACCATTATCATTTGAAGGTAGAACTCTAGTGCCTGTTTCGAACCAGCAAACTATGAACTACTACCAAATCCATATAGTTTGAGTAGTACCTAGGAAGCCAATAGTTACTCTCACTTTTCACTTTCTATTTTGTGAAGACAGACTTGAGTAGTTATATAATAATTGTATCAAGTAAATGAAATGGGTCTCCAAATGTGAATTATGTAATATGTATATAGGTCCAACCCAACCTAACTGGTATTCAATTGTTTTTTTTTTTTTTTTTTTTAACATATTTTGAAAACCCAAGAGTCATTTAAGTTTTTATTTGGCCTTCCAATGTCACTTCATTGTAAAAGAAGAAAATCCAAAAGAAACATGAAAACGAATCCTAAATTTTGAGGTTATGAGGTTACAAGGCGTGCAAAATTACAAGAATATGTAGGGGTGTCATGACCAGGTAATCTGGGACAAGAGGACCCAAACCTGATTCGTGTTGAAGAATTGGAACCCTAACCTGACCCTACACCCAAATAAGTCTGACTCTAACCCAATCTTACAGGGTTGGGTCAAGCTGGGTTTACCATTTGACCTAACCTTATTGACATCCCTATTTACAAGACTTCCCCTCACTTGGATGAAGTTGTTGACAATCCACCCGTGTTCTGATAAGAAATCAGCAAGAATAAGAGTACAGAATGGGAGAGAACAGAGAAGATGAGAAGAGAAAGAATGAAAAAAGGGGTGCAATTCTTAAAAATGATCCTGCCACCCCAGTAAATTGCTATTTATATTGATCAAATAAAAGAGCAAAAAGACAGGAATGGCCCTTCTGCCTATAAGACTGGTAATAGGGGGTATTTTGTGGGCCTTTAGTGGCCCAATGCAAGCTGCAGACGCCTCAGAAGCTGAAGTCTAATCTCTTCTAAAAGGTTTAAGAATTGCTAAGAACAATCATTTCAGTCCATTAGCAGTAGAAGGAGACTCAAGAATTACTATCAATTGGGCAAAAGACTCGGGAGAGGGTCCTTGGAAGCTAGCTCACCTCCTTGTAGAAATTCACGAGTTATCCTCTTTGCTGAACTGCTTCTTTAGATGGATTCCCAGGGAGATGAATAAAACTGTAGATGCCTTAGCAAAGCAAGGGTTGGGAAGGGACTTTTTATATAGTGCTAACTCTTTTCCATCTTTAGTGCAGGTCTGAACTTTATCTTGGTATCAGAGTCACTGTGACAAAATTAGATCTGCCCAGAATTTTGTTCTATTGCCACTCAGCTTAGGGTTTTACAGTTTTCTTCATCATCTGTTGGAGATAGGGAAAAAGGATGAAAAGGAGGTTTGTGGTGCTTTGTAGGAAGCCCTCTAATTGATGTTAGGAAGGGGGCTGTTTCAGGTGGTGTAGTGGACAGTCGAGTGGTTGGTGAGTTGCCAATGTTATGGTGTGTATTCAGGTAGTTGTGTGGTGCTGAAAGTGTAGAAATCAGTGACGTTTATTGCTGAAAATTGTGACTGTAGGTGGTTTCACTAGTGTGCAGTGTGGTGAAAAGTGATTTAGAAGTTTGATATATGAAGAAAAAGAGGAATTCAAATATGGGAGACAGTAGTGAACACAAATCTAGTGTTTTGGTTCCCACCGACTACCTGAATGTTCAGATGACTTCTATCAAAGAATTATGTGCCTTGGGCCAAATCTGTAGAGGTCTTTCTTAGAGCTAAGAAGAAAGTGAAGCATGTAAGAGAAGAAAAACCTCCCGTTGGTTCTAGGGAGTATAGTGATTGGGAACAAGAAGATGCACAAATTATGACCTGGTTATGGAATAGTATGGAACCCAAGATTAGTGTGAATTGTATGTTCCTAGATACAACCAAGGAGATTTGGGACCATGCCAAGAAGTTGTACTCGGGACAAGACAATACAACCAAGGAGATTTGGGACTATGCTAGCATGAGGAACCTTCGTAATGAGTTGAATGTGTACCATCCCCTCACTTTTGATGTTAAGATTCAGCAACAATGGAGAGAACAACTAGATGCAACCAGAATTTTAGTAGGGCTGAAATCTGAATATGAACCACTGAGAGCACAAATACTAGGAAGGTCAGCTCTTTCGTCTCTAGAAGAGGTGTTTGCCCGTCTTCGGAGGATTTTTGTTGGGCCCACAGATAATTCTAATATCTCTGACAGGTTTGCCTTTGCAGTGACAAAAGGGGGAGGCTGTGGTGTTAGAGGTGGAGCTCAAGGAGTTCAGCCTGGTCGTAGTGGTAGTAGTGGATCCATGTGTTGGAGGTTGAGATTTAGGGGGAGCTCGTGGCAGAGGATGTAGTAATGGTCTGAGGAGGTGTACACCTTGTGGTATGGAAGGGCACACAAATAACTTTTGTTAGGATTTGCATGACCCACCTTCAACTTGGGAAAATCATGCAGTGGCCAGTGATGGTAGTTCAAGACAGGATATCCGACAAGCTGATTAGATGCCCTCTACATTTATGGATGTCTCCACATCATCATGGCCCCATTCATAGTGGGCAAGACAAAGACCCGACCACATGCATCCGATCGACGATAGGTTCAAGTTATAATTAGGAAAACTGTCCAAGGGTCATTTGGCTATTTATGTGACCTTTTAGTGGTTCCCACAAAAGTTTGTAAGCATTCCCACCTTGGGGGCATATGGCATTGCATCAACTAGCTTTACATCATCCGACATTGCATCATCATTTCAAAAATAAAAAAAATCAAATATTTTTCAAAATTAAAAGGGTAAATCTCTTAAACTACCCCTACTATTCATGAAATTAACAAACTGTACCCTTACTGTTTATTTTTCAAAATTAAAAGGGTAAATCTCTTAAACTACCCCAACGTAGACGAATTTGGTATTGCGAGATGACGGTTTTGGGTATTTGGCGTTTGGGTAGAAGGGATCAACAAAGATCCATTTCCGTCTTCCACTCTTGATGATCCCTTAATTGTGAATTGTTGAGTTTTTTTTTGTTTTTGTCTTTGTTCCGTCTGCCACTCTTAATGAATCCTCAACTACGAAATGCTATTCTCCAAACGCAGAGCCTGTGATCTTTCAAAATATTCGATTATTTGGATGGTATTGAGTTGCAGAGGGTTTTGACACGATGGCAATCTATGAAATCGGTGAGAGGAAATCGAAGACAGAACAATGACAAGCTTTTGCGCTCCAATAGCGGCAGTGATGTCACATGTGAACGGAGTGTGACGAAAAAATAACGACAAGGGGGGTTTTAGACAATTGTCAAAAAACTTAAAGGTATTTTAAGACAATATGTATGTAAGCAGTAAGGGTACAGTTTGTCAATTTCGTGAACAAGTAGAGGTAGTTTAAGAGATTTTCCCAATTAAAAAACAAAAAATTTAAAAATCATAAAAAAAACTTATATAATTATTAAAAAATTGTTATGAAAATTCTAATGATTAAAGATTGGTTTTGTCTTCTAACCCCAGGAATGGTCCAAGTGATAAGCATAGTTATACGTCTAAAGGACTAGCAAAATCATTTAACCGGCACAAAGAGGTCTTGAGCAACAAAAGATGAAATTGAGACCATCAACCTTGGTACCAAGTGAAGGGATGGGATATCCATCACATGGACGCCCAAGTCTTGCGGAATGGACAAAAATTTCTCCCATCTTTGCAGGGAATCGAATTCCCTATAATTGAAAAACATGTTTTTCAAGGATCAATCTTGAATCAAGAACCAAACCAGATCTGAACCAAAAGGAGTAGGAGGGAGGATGTACCTGATACAGAGAAGCAATATCTCCCAATGGAGGTGTTCACGCACAAGGAAGGATCCAAAATCTGCTCCCACTGAAGATGGCGCAGTGCAGGATGGA